CATAGAAATATATATTGTTACAGAACAGTTCAGTTAAGGTGTCAAAATGTCAAGAAGCAATATGATTTGTGCTATTCAGATTGACAGCAAACACATATAAGATGTAGAAAGGGTAATTTGTGTAAGTACAAAATTTACCAGGAATAATGGGATTGGATTATATCTTCAAAAGGAATGAATTGGAAAAAACAACTATTTTCTAGTACAATTTATATATTGACTATTTTATCATTTTAGACGGTCCATCAGCTGTAGAGCTGACACCACCAACTACATCCTACACTTTAACAGAAGGACAAACTCTATCTACCGTCACGTGTTCCTCTGAATGTAACCCAGTCTGTACAAACAGCTGGACAAAGGACGGACAGTTCCACACAACAGGGTCAGATCTTCAGCTCACCAACATACAACGTGGTCAGAGGGGAGTCTACAGGTGTACGGCCAGTAACGGATACGCGAGTCGAACATCTATTGACGTCACCATCATCGTCAACTGTACGTATATACAGAGCCTGATTGTCTTAATGTGTTTTGTCTGCTAAATAACCGAATTACTCAGCAGTGAAGCGGATGTAAAACACTCCAACACTCGAAAAACAAATAACCTCTAGCTAAATATCGTCTGAGTGAGATCCAAATTACTCAGTAGTGGACATAGCCCTAACAAAGAAAGAGACTCAGTGGGGACCCTACCACAGAATATCATTACGTGGAAAACCAACGTATTATCTTAAGATAGTTCGATTTACTTGACAGTCGCATTGCAATCCCTTACCGATTTTCACAATGCCGACACTTACATTTTTAAAGGTTTGAAGGTTTAACCCATGTTTAAATTTTCAAACAGGATTAATTACGTACACTTTCCTACCAATCCAGTCATAAATCAGCAGCAGAAGTTTTAACTCTTCAATGTGAAACAGAAAACATCACCGAGTTGTCCGTTTAATACAAAGCTGTAGAAGATGCTGAAAAAAAACAATGAGTTTTCTCTCGAGTTTCCATGCTGATATTGTGGTGTAAATGACTCAACAATGAAGTCCATTGGTAGTAAATGAATACTATAGAGGGTATTTCCCCTTTTAATATCTAAATCATATCACGAATTGTAGGTATTTATTTCATAAAAAAAAATCAATATTTTTATCAACCGAGACAGCAATAAAAGCATAGGTCTGCGAATACATTTAAGCGATTAACTCCATAAATGTTTACCCGTATAGCTGCAACATGCGTCGCAGAAAAACTGAATGGAGCGCGAATTCAGGTTTTTTGCGCGATATATCGAAATTTTACCATTGATATATAAAAATACAATTACGATTGATTCTTTCCCCTACAGTTTGTAATTTCCCATTGTTACCGGCAAGGTCATGTCAATAACAACAGCAAATGAGGAATACATGATGCCACGCGCTATTTTGTCGCCCAATATCTAAATAAAACATAGCTGTCCTAATGTAAGTCCCCTACTAGGTTTCCTCTCGGTCCGTCTGTGTGCGTACGTACGTATTACCAATGTTTGTCAGCGCTCTAGCGGCTTCATTCCTTGAGGGATTTGTATCAAACTTCACACAATTATATAGGACCATCATATCTCGGATATTTTCGAGTTTTAGAGTTGTCAGGTCAAGGTCATCGTTACTATTTTTAGAAAATTCATTATCAGCGCTCTAGCGGCTTCATTCCTTCGGGGGTTTTGATCAAACTTCACACAATTACAAAGGACAATAATATCTCGGACAACTTCGAATTTCAAGGTTGTCAATCATTTTATTTTATATTATACCTCTAACATAATACTAACATTACAATTTCTTGTATTATTATTATATTAAAATCAGTTACATGCTAATTGTATACTTTTCATTTTCCCAAGTTAACCTCAAAGGGCACCATTTTTATAAATCATTAAAGTGTAATAGTTAGCGGGGGCCGGTATGGGGACATGTATTGCTTTATTAATACTAAGTAAGCTTGTTTATTTATAATTGATATATTTTTAATTTAAAAAGAAAAGAAGTTGCATTTGACATCAATAGATTATTATGTCGATTTAAGTGCCGGGGAATGGTTTATATAGTGTTTTTAAAGAACTCTTTTTCGAGCGTGTAGTCATGCAATCGTAGCAGCAATGCTCAGACAATGTATTCATACACAGCAAATAGCAGTTGGAGTTACACTGTCATAAATTAATCTTCTCATAGAAGGGATATAGAATGTTGCCACACCATATGATAATATAGGGATATGTCTTTTGTGTGATTTGCAATAATATTTAGTAATTTCAGTTTGTATTATCTAAATGGGTTAAATATTGCATAAACAGTGAATACACATTTTTGTCCAAGTTTCCAAGTTTTGGGAATTTCAAGTGAGCTTTTCATATGTTTTGGATTGGAAAAAATAGCCGCAATAGTAAACGCTATTATTATATCATTTGTTATTCCATACTTACTAATCAATACGTTTTTTTGTATATGCGTTACGATACAATTGCCCTTACCCATATCAGCCCTCGCCGTATCACACCCCAAAAGCCGTATCAGCCCCCGCCGTTTCACACCCCAAAACCCGTATCAGCCCGCAAAAACGTATCACACCCCTTTTGGACATTTTTCGTTTTTCGATATTAAAAAATAAATAAATAGATCATAAGAAAGTAGCTTTTATTAGTAAGTAAGTAATAAACAGAATAATACATGCCTTTTTCCATATGCCTTCGGCCCTTGGGCTGATATTGCAGTCTCGGGTTGATACTGGGTGTGATATGGAAAAAGGCATGTATTATTCTCTATTTATCATCGTCATATGATATGTTAACATCATTATATGACGACATTCGTAATTACGTGAAGCGATATTGGCATTATATGACATGTTTATACATTACATGATGTCATTTTCCTATTATATGATATGATTTTGTTATCATAAAATCAACTTTATGCGATGGCATTACACCATTATATTTACAGTCGACACTGATAATCACTCAATACTTAGTTATCTTTACATATTTTTTTTATCGTAACACATAATCAATTTCTCACTAACTAGTCGGAAACGAAATGTAACAGGGAAGAGAATAGTGTGCTTCTACCGGGGATCGAACCCTCGAACTCCAGGTTCCTATTCAGACGCTCTACCACTGAGCTAAACGGAAATTCTCTCTAGCTCGAAGCTATAAGGCCACCGTAATCCTATTTACAATTTTAACCAGCCACACTATGTGTTCGCCCCCGAACACCACAACACAGGTTCTAACTCCCTGTCACCACAGGGAGGACCACGGACACCATTTGTATTTACAATTAAAACCTGCCACAGAAACAATTAAAATAACACTAGGTTGAAATTCAAAGTGATTTGTTACCTACAATTAGTACGATCTCAAACGCCTTTTTTCGGTATTGGTATTCATTTTCAAGGCGCATGCCGACTTGTTCCTAATAACAGACAGAAATCTATTGAATTTAATTTAATCTTTACAAGTAAATTATAAGAACTAATGTGTTTGTATTACAGACGGTCCTGATACTGTTACACTGTCCCCACCTGACACTACCTACACCAGGACTGAGGGGGACACGCTACCTGACATCACATGTACAGCTGACTGTAGAACTGGCTGTACCTTTGTCTGGACAAAACCTGACAACACCAACTTTACTGCCTCAGCTGTGTTATCACTGGGACAACTGGACAGATCAGAGCACGGAGCATACAGATGTACTGTTGGTAATATCTACGGATCTTCAACTATATCAGCTGTGGTGACAGTACAGTGTAAGTGATTCTATACATAACTGATCTTTTTTTCCGAATCCGGTGACATATTATTTTATTTCTATTTTAAATTTTAACTTTATGTCATCACAGTTGTCTACAAACAGGCTGAATCAAAATGTCTTAGTTTGAGGACAATTAAATCCCACATTGTATCCAGATGACATGAATTGAAATGCTTCAAAGACACCTGACGATGGGGTGTCGTTTCAAAATGTTGTCACATATGATACCATACATATGTTGTCTACGTGTACCATGGCTCACCAATATTATTTATATTCATAGTATGCCTATATGAACAAAAAACATATCCAAAAAGATATATACCTATTATTAGTCAACATTCACCCTATTAACCTTAAATCATCTCATGTTATGTTATAATAGTAATTTTGCCAATAAAGTCTGCCTGCAAATTCACAGTAAAAAAGCATACATGGTTATACTTATATGACATGTACAGAAATAACTTTCAAAAATATAATTTTATGACTATCATAAACAAATCATAATTATAAAGTTTGTTTTCACAACATGATGAAAATTGATCGATGAAATGTTAATTCGATTAGGTCATGTCATGTTTAAAACTTTGTTTATATCAAAAGTTTCTATCTCAATTGTAAAGAGATGTGTTACCGTTGTGAATATTAAGGGGTTCTATGTTAGGTGATTTAGAGTGTCAGATAGGAAAGCATCTGCGCCGATATAACCCACATTATTCATTGTTATAAACATGTACTTTTGTGATGAGGGAAAAGTGATTTTGCTGTAATTTAAAGTAACCTTGTGTCTAAAAATAAATTTACCTGTACAGAATGTGTAAGCGAAGTTTCTCGGGAAATTTACTTAAAATTGCTTAGGGACGGCCAGCCATAAACTCATCTTTTTCATTAGAAGAACCGATGTATAGATACAGCAATTGCAATTATTATGAATGCCTATTGTTCCAAATAACTGTAGGTGAATATTAACAACTGATGCAAAAATATGTCTGACACCAAATGTTACCGAACTATCTTTTATAACTTAGTTATCTATATATCAATCTATGTTTTTTGTAGACGGTCCTGGTACTGTTACCCTGTCCCCACCGGACACTACCTACACCAGGACTGAGGGGGGCACGTTACCGGACATCACCTGTACAGCTGACTGTAGACCTGGCTGTACCTTTGTCTGGACAAAACCTGACAACACCAACTTTATTACATCAGCTGTGTTGTCACTGGGACAACTGGATAGGTCAGAACACGGGACGTACAGATGTACGGCTAGGAATGGTGTCAGAGAGTTGACTACAGCTACAAGTGTAACTATATCATGTAAGTTTTCATCTGTGAAATTAATATATTTACTGCTGCTATTTTTACCTGAGCTTAATTACTTCTATTTTTTTAGATTTATTTTTAAAAGCTACTTTTTATCAATGGGAACATTCAACTCCATTGGCTAAATATAAGTGTTTGGATAGTTTTTACCATATTATTTGATACTTTCCTCCGATTTTCCTTATGTTTTGCTTTAACCATAATATAATGTAATGAATGATAAGTGGATACCAGAAGTCTAAACAAAACTGACAGCCATAGGCTCTACCTTTCGTTTTTGTTAAGTCGCTAATTCTGGCCAGAGAACGAAATGACGGACCCACTTCCGTTCGGGGTGCGTGCGCATAAATCAGTCTTGCATGCTAATAGAAAGAAGAATCTCTGACACTCACCTGTGGGTTATATAAAGTCATCTGATACTCTTCTCCAAATAATTATCCATTATTGAAATAATTGCTGAAAACAAAATGTTTATCTCCGGGGCATTCTACGAGTGTTGTTGTTGTGGTGGTGAAATTCGTGCACTTGGTTTGAGCGTTTTAGCAACTCGGATTGAGCATTGAGGTCTGAGGAGAGTTACGCGTGTGAAACACATGTGATTTGAGAATGCACATGTGAAGACTGTCTAGCATTGACGCTGTCTGTAAAAGGAAGAAGTAAATATATATAGTTATAAACCGTATGAGTGATGAAGTGTAACCTCTATTTTGATGTTTCAAACGTGAACGTAATATGACATATCGTGCTTAGGTTGATAACGGTAATGGCTCTGAGACGAGACGATATGTAAAACGTGTATGCTTATCAAACATTTCTGTAACACAGCATGCTATTTCTGGTGTATTTATTTATGAAAATGTAAGAACATGATGTGGTGTTTGGGTTCTTTTGCAATTGATGACGAATACCATATATCTTTGATTTAGTGGGTATTTATTTCCCCTGTATGTGGTACCGGGGATCCACTAGTATAATCTGCCAGGTATGTATATTTCGTAAGTATGTGTATATGGCGATGTTGCCTCTACCAGGAGCAGATAGGAAGTGAATGGAAAAGAAAGGACAGAGAAGCAAATAAAACATTGAAGCGGGAAATATCACGCAATGCGACAGGTATCAGAGGTCAGTTTGTCACTGGTCAAACAGGTATACAACATTCACAATTACGTCACACTCTCATACATTCCATTCAAAACGAAAGTAACACACGAGACTAGGCGACAGCGATTGCGGATGCGGATTACGGATTAAAATCAACGACATATTATTATACAAAGTAATCCTAATTAGACTCAATATATTTTAGTGAATTTTTAGGAATATAAAGAATTAAAATAAATTAACAAATCTAACCGGGTGCCACAATGACACAACTGCCGCTGCTGTAAAACTTGACAAAGAGTTCGCGCCTTGTCAAAATATTATCCGATCCGGTGTAAGGGAAATAACTCTTACGTTGGTAAAGTCGCATTGAGAAATATAATTCAAATATATTCCAAGAACATTTGTGAGATTTTGTGAGATTATGTATATTCAATGTCAGTTAAAAAAGTCACTACATATATTAATAATTATTATTAATATGAATAAAAAATAAACAAAAATAAAAAGAGTACAATGTCTCTTTTCTCCATGCAATGGTTTTCCCACTACTGTTAATTATCCTTCATTTCACAAGCACAAAATGCACCTATTCTTTATTAGAAAGAGGAAAGGGAGAAATGTTTTTAAAGCATCATTTAAGAGGTGATTGATTTTGGAAATTCCAAAGACAACATCCTCACATGACCTGATTTTCAATTAGCAGAATACAGAACACATATCTGAGGTATTATAGTAGATAATGATGCTCAACGTGTTACTGAAGCAATTAAATTTAAAGTGGTGAGCGGCTTTAATGTCGCACTGACATAATTCTAGTTAATACTAAATTGGCGAAGGTCATTTCGTAATTAGCAGGGTTGCATTATGACCCTAAATCAGCAGAGCGGTAAAGAGGTTAAAACTGTAGTGAAGGTCAAATTGTTTAAGCCTGAAAACATTGTTAACGTTATGATAATTATGACGAAGTTTGGTATGACTCACTCTGATACAGACTTCAATATGATGGCCGAAACTGGCGCAGTGCTCCTTAAACATGATGCAAGAAAATGAGTTTTGGCTGTAAGAGCCGCGCAGAAAGGACACAGTGCGGGGCAGTGTATTTGGAAATGATAGACATGTATGTAGCGGAAGTTAGTTGCTATCTCGTTTGCGAAAAAGTGACCAGACATCTGGTACGAAGCTGCTACCACATGCATTCTTCGGGTGTTCAGGTCAATAAACGGCAAAAATATCAAAAAAATATTGAAAAAGTTCAAAAATATGTATCTGTTGTAATAGATAGCTAGATAAATATTAGGGGCAAGGTTTTGCAATGTTGTTTTCAACTGACGATGTAATATTCAAAATCACTGATGAGTATGTTTGCTGCCACCAATAAAAAGACACAGTAACTTTGATATTCAGAGCAAAGAATAAAATACTGGTTCTAACTATTCGGCAAATCAATCTTGATTTTCCATATTTAAGCCTAAAGAAGTTCACTTTGAGATTTTCGATTTTCCCAAGTTGTTTTGCAAAAGAACATCTGCCGTCTCGTCAAAAGACTCCATTACATGAAACGTTGCAGATCATCCAGGAAACAGTCCTCCTTGTGTTGACAAGATAGAGAAACATGACATATGCGCATGCGCAAGCGCATCAAGACGTCACGGAAATGATTAGGAGCTAAATTTGGAATTAAATGTTTTAATTGAACAGAGCAAGTTACCATTCGGCGTAAGGTCGACGCGGCCAAGTATGCGACGATTCTCTAGAACGCAATGGCAGAACACACATTTCGGTGGACGCTGTTTATTATATTATTGGACATGTTTCGTATTATCGGATAAGTTAGGTTTTCGCTTAAGCGCTGCGGGTGAAGCGCTTTCAGAGGTGTCTATCATAGAAATCAATGAAAATAAATTGATTTACAGTATGCGGCATTATAGAGCTTTAAACTTGTGTCAGACATCTAAATAATGTCGTAGCCAAGTCATTAACAATATATTGTCCATCTCTATATGACTGGTTTTTCAATAAAACAAAACATTTGCTAATGACGGCTGCATGTACCTACATTGCATGAGCTTGTGTGAGATAAATTTGGAAATATTTTGCATGACTTAAGAACCATAAATTCATAATGTATTTAAAACGGTAAATATCATATTGGTATTTTGAAGTGTTAAGGGTGTCGAATAACAACAGTATGGGTTTGAAACATGTTGAAATTTTGTACCTTTGTAAAAAACGCAGGTAAACTTTAGTTTTACCCGTCACCCGTTTGATGGAGATTTTGTGTCACGGAGAAAGTAACTGACGAAGTAATACCTGTCACACCTTCGACAAAAATGTTCTGTAGTTTATTTATAGAAATTAGTGTTCGTTAACTTTAGAGTAGAAGTTCTTTTTTCTTTATTTTTTTTTTTTTATTTTCTTTAAAAAAAAGTATGCACTTTCGGCACAAGGTTATTTCATATCAACATCACACTACTCCAATACCACATGACAAAGGTAAACAAATGTGATATTGTTTTACATACTCCAACTCTCGCCTCTGATATACACAATTCAGTTGTAAAGCCCCAGTCACACTGTCACGTTATTGGCCACGGTATACCCCGGTTGTTCCCGGTTTCTTTATAATGTGGCAAACCTTGGTCATCTCTCCAATTTTGACAATCTACGGTGTTGCTGGGGTATTGTTACGGATATCAAGGTGTCAATACGATAGATGACGACACTAATCCGATACCACTACGGACCACTACGATAGGCCAAGATAAATCCAGGTTCCACTACAGTACAATTACTGATTGTCAAGGTATGACTACGGTTTGTCCCTGGTTTCCACGGTTGTGTTACGGTGGCGCTTCGTCATCATCGGTTCCCTCACGGTGTCACTGCGGTAGCGCTTCGGGTTGTCATGTGACACCCCGGGGGCTATATATATTGGAACAAATGTTCTAATTCAAAATCGTTTTTCTTTAATGAACCAAACGAGAAGGAAGTCTCAAACTACTTTAAGCCCCTTTTTGTTTCGTTGCTGAATATCTGGGACCATCACCATGTAGTTTGCAACTTGCTACATGTTCAATTCTAGAAGCCAGTTCATCAGCTGAAGTTTGTTTCTGTGGTTGTTGATGACAAAGTCTATGATGTTACCGTTTCGAAGACTGAAGTTCCATGTGAGTTGAAGCAGATTTTGTTCCCAATTTATAGCACACTGACCCGGAACCGTAACAAACTTTATTCCTGCCGTCACTGCCGTACAGCAAACGTAGTACCACCGTAATATAGACGAAGTGTACTTTGGAAATCATGGAGAAACCGTGGATCGTCGTAGTGTCAAATTAATGGAATCGTAGTAGAAACGGCATATACCGTGTTAGACAACGGTGTACCGTACAGCGGTCGGTGGTGGTCGTAATGACACCATAGTATTGCCGTGAGTCTCCCTAGTGATGCTGTGAGTTGGCATGACTCCCAAACACTACGGTCACCCCCGGATGGCCACGGAAGCTTGCACGGCGGTTTTACGGCGGTTCTTCGGAAAGACCGGTGGTACTACGGTGACACTACATTTTTCTAAATACCGTGGCTCGTCTACGGAAGTACCCGGGTATTTTAGACTGTTTAAAACTACCGTAGCGAGCTACGAATCACCCAGGATAAACACAGATTACCCCAGCGTCAATACGGACTCGCTACGGATTACCCAGGGTTTTTCCCGGTTTACACCACCGTAGCTCACAGTGACTATATACCGGCACAGTGTGACTGGGGCTTTATGTTACACTTCTTACCGGATAACATTACCTAACCTTTAATATCATGACCACTATTTCACAACAACGAGAATTAGTATTTGTATTCTAAACGTGAAATTGAACACTTCATGGAGTCCAAGCTTTATAGAGTATAGCTACCAATACTTAAACATTTCAGATGGTCCTTTAACTGTGATGTTGACCCCGTCGACTACATCCTACACCTTAACAGAAGGACAGACTCTCCCTACCGTCACGTGCTCGTCTGACTGTAACCCAGTATGTGCCTACAGCTGGACAAAGGATGGACAGTCCCACACAACAGGGTCAGATCTCCAGCTCACTAACATACAACGTGGTCAGACGGGCGTATACAGGTGTACGGCCAGTAACGGATACGGTAGTCGGACATCTAGTGACGTCAGTGTTACTGTAAACTGTACGTACTAATAACCGTGACATGATTGTCTCCTGCTAGCTCTGTAATTATCATAGGAATAAAATAGTATGATTTTTCTTTGTTTAGGAAAATACAAAATGGAAGATATTTAATTATTTTTGTATTAATTTACAATATACCATGCTTTTATAACTAATCTCGCCAGTGACTACAAATGATTGACGCTAGAATATTTTTCAGAGGATTATATCTATTACCTCAACAGCCGTATTACGACGTCGTTTGAAAGAAAGTTAACATTAACATTTTAAACTCAAAATAAGTCAATTTTATTGATACTATTTACCTTTTGATTCAATTGAGTTTTCGTCTCAAACAAAACGGTTTGAAATCGTAATGGTTAATTGTCCAAGGGGTAAAAGTGTCCCCCCCCCCTCCGTTAACTCACATTTAGGTGGAAAAAATATTTTTCACTTGATACTGGATCCATGTATTTTTACCATTTGAAAAAAAACAAACGCTTCTCCCTGACAATTGAGTAACAATCATTTGAGGTTACATCAAATATATCGCTCTGGTCACAAACAAGTATAATTTGAAACCAATCATAAAGGTGTTTTTTCTGAAATGAGTCTTAGTCGTGAAGTAGAAATACACTTAAGATATATAAAAATATTGAGATAAACCAGGACTTAAACAGGTGATGGCTAATAAATAGCTCATGTCTGACAATATTGCCGATAGAACAATATAATATTGACCGACACATATAACTGTTTGTATTTAAGCATTACATAGATATTATTATAAGCAATAATTTCACCGGCTATGTATGGTATCCTGCGATCAAGGATACTATTTTGACACTCAACAAACATAAAATACGAAAATTCTAGTCAGTGTGTGATGTGTATGTGTTTATCTTGTAGACGGTCCTGGGGCGTCTATTTCAATTTCTCCAGCGGACACAACCTACACCAGGACTGAGGGGGACACGTTAACGGACATCACCTGTACAGCTGACTGTAGACCTGGCTGTACCTTTGTCTGGATAAAACCTGACAACACCAATTTTACTGCCTCAGCTGTGTTGTCACTGGGTCAACTCGTCAGATCAGAACACGGGACGTACAGATGTACTGCTGGGAATGTTGCCGGAGAGTCAACTACAACTACCAGTGTTATCGTTACAGTACAGTGTAAGTAGCTTAAACTAAATGTTCACCCATCTGAATCAGTAGTACATTGTCCGTTTAGAAAAGAGATGTACATATCAGTTAATTCATTTCTTTAAATCGTAAAATTAACGTTTGCAAAAATATATCAGTGTGAAATTTTGTATGTCACCAATGCATCACCTATGTGTACAGCCTCTGCAAAAGTAAATGACGAAATCATCTGTAGTTAGGGGGCATATAAACAGCTGTAAAACTGAACCATCGGGAGGGGGAAATGAAGGAAGTTATAGACGTACAATTTACAAAGCTGGAGACATCTGATTAGTATAGACATTCAGCTTGCAGTTCGATGAATATGACAACGTCTATGCTTTACATCACACATAGACTCATACACAATGTACCGTTTATTAAAATGGTATTGATTGCAGAGACACTCGCAAATAATCAGTGTATTTGAATAAAAAGTAAATGGTTACATTGGTTTGGTTAACATGTGTTTGTATTGTGGGTAGTTATACAAGTCCGCTACTAATTTTATGTAATAATCAACAGCGTACATGTACATAGATATCACATGAGTGTTCATGTTATATTGAATTTATTGAACAAGTTCAATAATTTGATATGACACGAGCTTTAAAGCAAATTTTTAAATAAGTTAAATAATTTAAATATGACGTACACACGAATGTATGATTATATTTATCACAGAAAACAAGAACAAAACATTTTTTTTTTACATACAAATGGAAGAGACCTGTTTTGCAATCTTAAAGTTACAAATTATTGCATTAGTACATCGAAAAAAACATAAAAAATAAACACGTTTTTATTGAAGACGGTCCTGGTACCTCTATCACCTTGTCTCCACCTGACACTACCTACACCAGGACTGAGGAGGACACGTTACCGGACATCACCTGTACAGCTGACTGTAGACCTGACTGTACCTTTGTCTGGACAAAACCTGACAACACCAACTTTACTGCCTCAGCTGTGTTGTCACTGGGACAACTGGACAGATTAGAACACGGGACGTACAAGTGTACTGCTAGGAATGTTGTTGGAATGTCAAATAAAACAGCAACTGTTACCATACAGTGTAAGTACGATTGGTGTCTTTTGATATGAGCGCAATAAGCAAAGCTTTATATCATCACACTGTCCGTCCCTTTGTCTGTAAGCCAGCTTACATTACCTTGTAACTAGTACCAATGTTTGACCGAATCCTTTGCTTCTGTGTGATTTCTGAGCAGATCTTCTAATATGTTAATCACTGTGTAGGACTGACACCGGATATAGCTAGTACCGAAGCGGGCATCGACGCTAGGCGCAGACAAGCCACGGGATGCGTTCCGATATTTCTGATATTTTCTGGTAGCGTAGAGACAAATAAAGGAGCACAGCAATTATACAATGAACAATGATGTATGTGTTGCAGATGATTTGTAAACTATTTCATGCGATCTTAAGCTATTGGTAAAAAATGACTACAAAGTACGGTACAAAATCATTTACAAAGAAAGAAGAAGAGATGACTATTAAAGTATGACATATACGATGATGAAACGGACGTTACTAGCATATGTAGATGAGACCGGGATAAACATATAATGGTCATATGTCTAAATGTAGTCATTACGATGTAATTAACTTAAATGTTTTTTCGTATGTATACGGCGACAGTTGTTGATACATTTTCAAGTGTACGGCAACTAGCATGTTATCAGTACGGCGAATAGCTGTACTAACATAACTGTGTTTAGAGCGAGCATTTGTACTAGCTACGTTTTATGTTGTTATACCATTGGAGTAACATATTCATGGTGTTGCTTTGTAACACTTTTGAATGATATCGTAAGGGAAGGGGTTAAGAATGTCGAAAGTCTAAGGAATGTCAAGTTAAATATTTCAGGAGTACCCATTTTTCACATGCTATAACACAACTTAAGCTGTGACCTTGACAATAGCGGTGGAGAGTTGAAACTTAAGATTTGACCTTGACAATAGCGGTGGAGAGTTGAAACTTAAGATGTGACCTTGACAAAAGCGGTGGAGAGTTGGAACTTAGGCAGAAGGTGACATACTCTTTCCCTGTCACAACGTCAATATATAAGGGGGAGGGTAACACAAGAAATTTTAAGGCTGATGTAGAGAAAATCTGCACTTATACCTAGATTTGCAAAGAAATACACGATAGTTAAGTTGATATATCCTCAATTTATTCACAGTTATCTGTAAACAGCAAGTGGTGAAGGCAATACAGACGTCTGAAAGTGTTAAATATGTATACCTTTAACAGGCAATGGGAAAAGTCTGTATCACTCCTACTCAAGATTTCAAAGTCTATTCTAACTTTATTTTCATAAACTTTTAATAGACACTTTTAAATTATGGTCTGAAACTTTGTTTTATAATTGGTACTTTAAAAAAATATTTTGCAACCCTAATATTTTGAGGGCTGAAAAATAGACACACAACTATCATTTTGGCCTATCCTTTTAATCTACAGCATATGCAGACTGTTGTTTCTTGTACTCTTTGGTGTTATACAACTTACGTACGATAAGGTGCATGCATTTTACATTGCATGAGATTAACGGTAATCGGGGAACGTTAGTTTCAGTTCAGCTTCACAAAAAGTAATTCTCATTTTAAAAAATATCCCATAAAATCTGACGAAACTAACGCAAGGTATGGGTAATTGTTCAGAAATTATTTGGTTATGCAATAGCGATGCTGTAGAAAAACAAACAATGCCTCATTACATTTTTAGGCGGAGGGACGGGGATCCTTAACAAAATGTATCACATTTAGGCAAAGTGTTCACTTGAATACTGTATATCATATGACCTATCCGCCGTGTACCAGTTATTTTAAACATTCCTATTTGCCGTACAATGTATTGCTATTCTCCGTACACTTAACCAAAATTAGTTATGCCAATATCTAAAGAAAGAAACATAATATAGAGTGACTCCATGTATTATCATGACTGTATAACTATAAGAAATCATCGTAGCATATAAATGAATATAACCCACTGGCAAATGTCAAGTCAAGACATTATTTGCTGTTGCGAATAAAGATTTAGCGGTACTAGGCAGACTGTTTTTGTAAATAATTTGCAACTACACCAAAACAATTACATGCCACCTGTTTCAGATATGAATTCCGTCTATGCTTGACTGTCGTGCTTCTTTATTTGTCTCCACACTACCAGAAAATACAAGAAATACCGGAAAACTTAACGTGATTTGACTACGACCAGCTTCCATGATCGCTTCGGTTCTAGCTATATACGGTGTCAGTCCTACACAGTGTTAATGGCCATGATAGTTTAACCAATTCCTATTAATCGAACTCATTTGAAAAATGTACAGATTTTATTGTCTTAGTTGTTTGACATTTAACACGAAAAATCAATATGATATGTTTTTTACAATAAATATCTATGTCAAGTATGTAGACGCATATACACGTAGTACACACTTATATCTGTGTTTTGACCCACGTTCAAGTTGGCGGAAATCTTCCATAGGAGCAACCTTGATAGCCCTTTGTTTATGCAAGATACTACCTAAATTAAATAACACTAGACTTCTTAGCTATTTACAAAAAATGGTCATGATATTTTAACCCTTATGAAACTTGTGATATTTGTTAGAGATCAAAGTTATTCAAATTAATACTTTCATTTCCTGGTATGAAAGCAGTGTTCACTTTAAACATATTTGCCTTTGGAAACTTCAGAACGAGATTTGTTACACGCTTTGGCAATGGTAGATTGTACATATAGAGGATCTTACATGAGTGACAATGTCATTTTAAATTTGCTATACGCGTTCAATAATTTGATATGACGCGAACCTTTAGGCGAGTGTCATGTCAATTCATTGAACGAGTTTAGTAATTGAATATGACATGGACAAGAATGTAAGATTATATTGATCTCCTAACATTCATAATTTGAATAAAAATTCAAACGCAATTATAATTTTATGTGTTAACAGCTGACTCTATATAGGAAAAACACCAAAGTTTTTCGATCATTGTATAGTCGTTCCGCGCAGTGCAAAGTAGTTTCAGATTTTGTTTTTAAATGAACACTTTAAAAACAAGAAAAGTAATAATGACAAAGTTACCGTTACAAATTCATTTAATATATTAGTAAATGTATAATGTGATATAAAAAATGAAAGATTTCCCTGTAGTGGCCTAGGAATATTCTCCCTCAGTTTTGATTAATCGCAGCACCTGTAGGTTTTATTACATGTGTGTAATACCATATTTATCACGTGACCGTATGACATGTACTATGGGTTTACTATGTGATACATTTTTTGCCCTGTACGTTCGTCCGTAGTAAATACATGGTTATCGGTCAACGTTAAAGGACCGAATATATTCAACATGATTGTTTAAAAGATAATTCACAAAAACTAAAATTCTGATTTCTTTCACAAAGTAGTATGATGATATCAAGTTGTAAACGTGACTTGCTATTGTGGTTATTGGGAAAGGTTAACGGGTAAGAATTAAACCTTGCTTACAACATATCTTATGGATATTTCAACATCATATTTACACCAAAGTATGGTCACATCGATATGAACACATGATAAGACAGTGGTGGCCATCATCCAAAGTTAATGGTTAAAGTCAAAATTAACACATTTCTACTTCTTGACAAAAAAGACATCTTTACAACAGAAACCAAGTTCACTTTATATTTATACAACAGCTTGATAATATCCAGTGTATGCAGGGGTACACGTATTAGAGTCGGTAGTTAAAGGGAGAAAAGGTCACACTGGAAGTCTTAACGGCTTCATCATTGAAAATCTCACATCAATTGCTGTTATATGTTACCAAAAGAGCGCTTTTGCACTTTGACTCTTTACCAAAAAAGCTTGATCACTTAATTCATGATATAATAACTCTTTATTCAAGCATGTTTGCCGACAAATAATCACTTATTATCCTAGCTAATAAACTAAAGATAGAGGTATTTACCCTTTGTAGCCTGAAACGTGACCTTTCAATTTGTGAAATTCTGATGCCGTGATGTGACAACTCTCAACGTGATGAAATGAAAAGAAACAATTTAGTTCCCTGTATAAGTCAAAAGCTTAAGGGGAATAATTTTTCTTAACAGGGATATTACTCGATGGATTTCATTACTTTGGTTATCATTAAGCAGAAATAAAATTTCGTCAAATGGAAAAAAAAACCCGATTAATTTCGCTTTTAATGCTATTTTGACATGACAAAAATAGACAAACTTTTCTTGATAGGATATATATCAAACTAAAATATTAAATGAATATCATATATCTGTATACTTTTTGTATAACTATGTGTTTTATATATTGTAAATTTGTGTTAGGTTTTGGTGGTTGGCTGTAATGAACGTACCTGGTCGTATCTTTAATCTTATTCATATCTTTTTTCAAATCTAATTACTGACAACTGTATAATAAACAGACACTAAAATTATCTAAACATTTTTTCCCAGATGGGCCAGGAGACAGCATCACGTTCGAACCAACGCAAGATAAAATAGAGAGAGTTGAAAACCAGACTGTCCCAAACATAAGTTGTTCTGCTGATTGTAGACCCCCATGTACGTATAGCTGGTCCAAATCAAATAGTATTCGTCCAAATCCGCTGTCTCTGTCAAGGGTTACGAGGAACAACGCTGGGACATACAAGTGTACAGCTAACAACGCCATCAGCAGAGGAACGAAAAGCTGGATTCTAATCGTCAAATGTAAGCATTTATTATGGAAATTGGCTCACATTTAAAAAGTTTATCTTATTTACTCGATGTGCAAAAGTAGATTTAGACTCATCAATACACCTATGTTTTCTATTAGGAACGTAAATTATTTTATTGTTATCTTTCATTCAAACTACAATAAAAATAATTTCTTAAATAAGTGGGTAGGGGTATTTTCAGGGCAACACATATTGTTTTTATGTTGATATCAAAATCTGGTATATAACAGGGGACAGGTTTATTAAAGGTCTCACTTATATATCATATTAAGTGCATTTTTTTAAGTAGATGACTTATTTTATGATATCATTAATATCCTCATTTACTGAATTCCATTTTTTTCATTTTTTTCTCTCTATATAACATATCGTTTTTTTGTCGTTTTAATCCTTTTTGAAAAACAGAAAAAAATGACAAATGTTTAGATCCCTATGCGATTTTTTTTCATAACAGCAGCATCTTTTAATCGTTATAATTCAAATCTTAACCTATTTATATATGTTAATTTGATATTTTCCGTTAATTGGAAGGGAAGTTACTTCGTACTTTTGATAACAATAACATAATTTCAGCAGAGTCTGGTACATTAGTGTTAAAAGCATGACCATGCAAATTGAAGTACTTATTTGAAAATTTGTTTGTAGATGCAGTCCAATACCACTTTTTACATGTACTTGAACATCCACACAGTGTTGAGAGATAAACACAGTGTTGAGAGAAAAACACAAGTTTCTAAGCATCACTTAAATATGTATCCCATGCGTTGTAATGAAATTTACAAGTTGTTTAACAGTTTTCATTACACATTACATGTTTTGGAAGTACAATTATCTTAATACCCCATACCTTCTCCTTCACCGAGCAAATCATGATAAATTGCTTGTCCTGCAAGTCCCCTTATCATTATGTACTTATGGAAACAAATATATCGGTTAGTAATAAATTGTTGCAAGAACTTTATGCTTCATACAGAAACAAGGAAATTATTGTACTGACAAATGCTAAAGCTGCTGTAAACGTCAGATATTTCCCTGCATTATAAATACAAATAAAAATAAAAATAATCATGTTCATTTCAAACACAAAGGCCCTATGTCATCATGACTCTGACCTTTAGAGCCATTTACTATATAACATAGTCACTTCCTAAATAATGTGTGATACAGTCATGTTGTAATTTGCGTATATAAACAATAAAAAGTATAATCAGCTGAAACTACATAAATGATTAACACATCTGTTCGGATATTATTTTGAAATTTCTTAAATGTTTATCATGTAATGCGTTATAATCAAGACAGATAAAAACAAATTACAAGTATAATTTAACCGTTACTATATATACTTCCCTACGTAAATGTCACTAATCACGTCAATCAGGTATGTTTCTTCCTCTTAAAGTTAATCATATATTTTGTTTCTCTGATCTTTAAATCACGTATTCAATTCTAAACTAGAATTTGAGTAATGATTAAGCTCCTATTCAGATCATGAGTCGATTTACTTGTTTTATCTGACGTTTAAGTGGATAAAAGGCTATGCAGCCAAATTGTCGAATTTAAATCAAAACTCTATCATAATGCATAGATACATAAGTAGTTATTCTATATTTCAGTTCCTCCTGAAATAGACAGTCTTGCTTACAACCAAGGAGACGTTGATATGACGGAACACGGATCAAAGACTCTCATTTGTAAGGTGGAGAGTGTCCCATCGTCTACAATAACATGGTACTACAAAAACAATGACACAAAACTGTTTATCGCCACAGATGTACTGGAGAGTAGCTACACCCTGACTACTGCTGGCTGTCTGGACACAGGACTATACACCTGTTCTGCCAGGAACAGTGTCTCTAACACAGCAGTGACCAAGGACATAAGGATCAACGTTTTGTGTATGTTGTATTTTCCATATTGATTCGAAAACCACGAACTTTATATCTGACCGAATTGTTGACGCTAAAAATGATGATTATTCTTTAGTCATTACTAATATATATATCTCTTCGTACCGAAAATACCCCATGTCGACATTCATGCTTGAAAAAAAATATTGCAGCGTTTCACTTGAGCAAAAGCTATGGCCGCCAATCTTAAGCTAGAACCACTAGAATGATCGAAACAGTAAGCAACCGAAACATGCACATAATACAAACGGCGATTTTTTTTATTATTTTCCATCGAAATAAAGCGGCACATTTATTTTAGTTGATTCAATCACAGATAATATTGTTTCTCCGTTTGTCAAATATGTTTAAAATAACGTAGGCAAGTTTTTTGATAAAATGAATAGTCTTTTTTGAAGAAAAAATAATTGCTAATCTTTCCGTCGCCTGCTGCGTCTCGTCTCCAGATTGAGTGGCATAAGACGACCTAAGCTCTAAGGCACAGACGTTTTATCTTTGTGTGAGCTCTTTGTAACAAACAGATTAAAGGGTAACAGTGATGCTATAGTAAAGAAATGTCTAAGCAAAAGGGAAGTATTGAACTTATTTTTTTACCGCGGCGCCTTGTTTATGTCTTTAACCCCTTCACCCCTATGTAACTTTAGCAAACTCTTCCGTGCATTGATCTGGATCAGTCCATTATGGCCTACAGTGGTGATAGGGTTAAAATATTTGGCTCATAAATGTAAAATTTGGCACAAGAAAAATAACTTTGGCGAAAGTTTAAGCGTAAGAATGTTTTAAAGCTGGATTGAATGCATACATTTTCATAGGTGCCATGTTTATTAAAGCAAGAATGCTATTAATAAGCGCCCTGGTCATTTCGTGTGAACCCCTAAGTATCAGACATACCTATCAATATCTATCCATGCTTTCGATAATCAACTTTTTTCTAGATCATGTCAATTCTGTTTGCAATCTGTAAAATGCTATAGTGAAGAAATATCGACATAAACAAGACGCCGCGGTAAAACAATAAGTTTAATACCTCCCCTTAGCTTAGATATCTCTTTACTATAACATCACTATTACCCTTTAATCTGTTTGTTACAAAGAGCTTACACAAAGGTAAAACGCCTGTGTCTCGATTACCTTATGATCCCCTACAATATTTAGATTAAAATGTTTGTGTCCCTAAAATTTCCATGTATTAGATTACATCTGTCTGTGTCTTTTTCCTTGATTTCAGTTTTTTCTTAAAAAAAAATCCAACTAACCCCGAGAAATAGAGAATAAAATTAATTCCTTTAAATTCAAAGATATTGATAAAATGTTTCAATTCAGAATAAATCTAATCATTAAACAAATATTATAGTTTGCTTTTATATGTTAGGTAATATGGTTGGATGTATTAGATAATGATTCCTTAGACCTCTCAATTGTTACGGCTCCTGACCACTGCTTGTCACGTATTGTTTGCTACGTACACAGTGTGCCCATAGGCGTACCATTCACATGGGATTAATGATTGTAACAATAGCGTAACACTAAGTAGTTAATTGGGCAATAAATTCACCATGATACGGCAGCTAGATTGTCACTGTTTACCTTTGTTACAGCTATAAACTGACACATGGCACATTTTTGTAAGATATTGATAGAACAACTGGCATTATTATGCGCCTAAAAGTCGCCAGAACTATTTTTATCAGGAAAATATTATTGTTTTTGCATGTGGCGCTATAGGCGACCGCTGACGTGAACCCTGCACTATTTCGTTTCGCTTTGTAACTAATCACGTAAGTAAAAACAACGTAATCACGGTTTGTGCAGAAGGAAAACAACTCAAACTTTTCTTAAATGTCTTGGTGTAAAATATATGTTAAAATGCTAATTGTGAATTCACTTGAATGATGATAACGTCGATACAACACATTGTCATGTAAATGGCGTACTTCAAGGTACGCTGTAATGTTAACAACGTCGTTGAAGAAAATGCCGTTAGTTTGACAACGTAATGAAAAGAGGCCCGTAAAATTAAGAACGTAAAGAACACGCCCCCAGCTGATTACATACCTAAAGACCTTGTTAGCTTGATAACTCACTCTATTGTAAGCTGTACGCTCAATTACGTCGATTGAACCCGACCGTCAGCTTGAAAACATATTTAAGTGTAGCTAACACAGTTCGTTTCGTCAATAAAAACACAGTTTTAGGTTCATAACGTTACTTACGGTAAAGAAAAACAGTGAATACAAGGAAGCCTGGATTGATCTTGTTGTCCACACTTTTTTAAAAACAAAAAATGTCAAAATACAATCTATTAGATAAATATATATGGACAGGAAATTGAAAGTCCTGAAATAGAACAAATAACAATTGCATCAGCCATGACAAGTTTAGGCGGGGGTAGCTTTACGGAATTGTTTGACGTCCAGATTTTCGCAAAAATAAAAAAAATAAATGGTTGCCTATAGCAACTTATATCCACATTCACCATACAACATCATACTATCATAATGCTAATGAGTTTTCAGCATATTTGTGTGTACCTGAGTGGGTAAGCGGTAGTAGGCATGCATGTATATATAGATGTGTGTGTCTGCATGTTTTTGATACTAAATCGTAGAGTAGTAAGTTGTCTTATTTTTGTTTTAATGCCATCCAAATCAGGTTCGCCGCGCCTTGATCCAAGAGTGTTCACAGACCGAAAGATGGGGTTGGCCACCCATGATAATCTAACTATGAATGCCATGTTTCTGTCAAACCCAGAACCGTCATCGTTCACATGGACTTTCCAGAACTCTTCACATAATTCTTTTACTGAGCTAAACGATGGGACAGACAACTTTGGTATACATAATGCACCTTTTACATCGAACCTGTCAGCTTTGTCAGTGGGAACACGTACGAACATACAGGAGGCCTGGTTTGGATTATATAATGTTACAGCAATAAACAGTGAGGGCAACGGGACAGTCACTTTCATAGTTGCAGCTACAGGTAAATCAATCATTTAGCACAAAACCGGCTTTTTGAATATGTTCCAGTCTCTTTGCCTTGTTTTTCTCTTGGCGTTTTCGTTGTGTTTTTATAGTGTATATTAGATAAATTAATGTGAGTTGAGAGCTTTTACAAACTTAACTAATGGTTCATATCTTGTGCAGGAGTAGTTTGTGATAATAAAGATCACTCTTCCACTTTATTTTAAAACATTACTTTTGAAATATACTTTTAACATGCGGTATCAATTGAATCAACACAGGCAAACTGACATTGTGAAAGCAGTCCTGACGGCTAGACGTTTTGTCTTTTGAGAAAATATGCATTTACTTAAACCAATCCTGATTTTGATCTATTGGTTGGGTTACGTTGTTATGTTCCCTCAGGAAATAGATTTTATTATTCGTATTTATTGTCATGCATGTTACGCAAACTGTAATTGAGCCATGGAGAGATATACATACTATACATGATTCTAATTAAAATAATCTGCAATATGTTTGTATATTTCACATTTCCATGTAAAATGGTTACTCCAAAACAATTGTCTTGTTATCAAGTGTAAATATATTAAGTTTGTGATGTTTTGTATATTACTTGGTTTATCTTTAAATGCCGAATAAGATAATCGTTGCTAATTCTTCCACTGTTTGCTGATCATAGTAATCCTTAATAGAAAGGAAGTTTAATCCAAAATATGAAAAGAAAACAATCTTCCATCTTAATGTTTCCTATAAGCACCTCCGATTGGGTAATTTTTCACCCCCAGGAAAACCAAACCCCCCGTATGAAGGTACAGCTGTGTGTCAAAATACAGATCGTGCCATCTTAAGCTGGAGATCGGCATTCAACGGGGGAGCTGACCAGTTATTCGTTGTTGGAAGAAGGCAAAGTGAAAAGGACAACTTTGTTATTGATCAAACCCTCGACCGAGTCCAGGACCCGGGGCAGCACCGAATCATCAATATAACGGTATTTGGCCTGTCGCCTGGTACACAGCAATTCTTCACAGTGTATGCTGTGAATCCTTTTGGGAACTCGACATTTATTAAGGACGTAAACTGCACTACAAAAGGTGATTACGAACACTTTCGCTTCAATATACATGTACGCTATGAAAAGTAAATAAAAAACAGCCTTAACAAGAACATTGTTCTTTTTCTCTAAGTCACATTTCCGTCATTTTAATTCGTTTGCTATATATTATGAAACAATCTTGATATTCAATATTTGACCTGCATTTGTTTTACTTATATAACGTACATTTTGTCTATATTTTGAATCAGTTACAGAATCCTCCCCCGGGAACTCTCCTTTAGGAGCGATACTTGGCGGAGTGGGTGGATCTGTGGTTGCTATCATTGTTATAGTTGTCATAGTTGTCATCTTTAAAACGAAGAGAAGGACATCTGGAAAAAACACAAGAGGTAAAATCCAGTTGATGATATCTTTACATGTGTCATCGATCTGAACCTTCCTTTGTCATTTACCTCCCGTGGACAAATACATTTCTACACTCTCAACTTTATGCCTTATAGAAAGGGCTATCGCGTTTTTTTCAAATACTTCACTTTTAACCATTAAGTTAATCAAACGTATTTAATCACTATCACTCTTAACCGTTGAGTTGTTCGTGAACATTAATCACTGACTCAAAAAGTTGTAGCAGAATTAAATGTATGATTAAATTTAATAAAAATCTTATGATCTTACAAATGATTGATCAATTAATTTTCAATATTTATATATTATCCATTGTCAGTTCTTCTAAAAATAACTTGACATATTCTCAATAATGCATACATGTACACCGGACATTTTTTATTTGAATATTTGCAATTAACGTTCTTATTGTATTCTATTTGCCACTAGCTTAACTACAAATATTGTATGGTAATAACAAACTGTAGGTTTTACCTCATTTAGATATATCTTTTTACGAATCTACTATCACTCCTCGGTTTTACAAATGTGTACAATTTCTATGTAAGCATGTTTTTCCATTGCTCACAGGTGAATCCGGACAGTAAGTATAATCTTCACATTAACATCTAGTCAGATATTGTGTATCCTGGGTTGACATATTTTTAAATCAAGTACCAGTAAGCAAGTACTAATCTAGTAAAGCAAGTATAGGTAAAAAATTATTTAGCAGAAATGTTCTATTCGTAATAAAGTGTATGTTACCGAATATAATTATGTATACGTTATGGGTTTATGTAATATGTATTAAACTTGTAGTAACGTGCTGTTGATTGTCACCATTGAGTCAAATGCAATAATTAGGTAAAAACAAAGTTTATAAAGAAGCATTCGCCACAATTAGTAATTTGTATAAATGCTTTTGTGGAATACGTTCACTTGAAAAAAGGAAAATAACTTGTTTCAGACAATATATTAGCATTTCATATCAGTTTGCTTGCACTAATAACAATCTGAAATTGCAATAGACACACATACATCACTTGTTTTCTCTTTTAGGAATTTCCCATAAAATCCAGCGACGTTCCTTTTTTATAGAATTCTCAATTTGTTAAATGCGAAATAACTTTGCTATATTAATTTCCAAACGATAACGATGGTCATACCCGAGAACAGTGGTATTTAGACTTAATGAAATAGTTTTTTTTATGTGTTTAACCTATATCTTACAAGAAATTGATTTGAATATTATGTCTGCAATGTTATCGTTTTGCATTTCGACTATCACGCAAACATATGCATCGTTTTTTGTATGCACTCTTTATCGTTGCTTCATGTTAATAATTTAAGTAGCAAACATTGTATCCACTCAACGTGATCACAGTTCAATGTAGTGTAGTGTTATTTAAGATTTATACATTACCGTGTTACTAGACAGGGATATGAAGACCTCAACTTGGAGCAAATTGAACCACCGGCAGTATATGATGAAGTTGCTAATAATCCAATGGGTAAATATAAACTTATCAATTATTGTATTCTTAGTTTATTCGATTAATGAATTTTAACATTCCATGGCACGGAATACAAACAACAATGAAAATGTAAACTCCTGACGTGAGATGGTAGTTTTTTATCGTTTCATATATATATATCATAATGTGATTTACCGTTGTATTTATCTTACGTTCGATGTCGTATTTTTTGTTAATATATCATCTGATAAATCATATTTAAATATACTTTTTATTACTATTTCTGTTCCTATTTTGTACACTTGTTTATTTGATTTTCGACACACAAGATGGTAGATTGTGAAAAAGGTGTATGTAGCACAACCAAAAAGTGTGTATATGTGACGTTTCAATGACAAGTACGGTACATTCGAGTTATCCAGTAATCGATTCGGCTACGCAGTAAGCGTATATACAATTTGTTGGTATATATGTACCGAAATGACTCGATTTAGCTACGCTTTGTTTGATAATTGGTCATAGATGTACGAGAGTCTATGAGCCCCCTCATCTCGTTATGGAGATGACGAAGTACATACCGTACAAGTCAGCGAAACATTACATGAAAACACTTTTTGGTTGTGCTACATACACCGTTTTTCACAGTCCATACCTATCGACATGAAGAAAATACTTAGATATACAAGATGGTATACTCTGCTGGTGTATTTTGTCTAAGGGGTTGTTAGAAATGTTGATTGCCATAGTAAAATTTCTCGCAATCACATTGGTCGGTTCCTTTACAAGTGACCAGTCCTCAAAAACTCATGTAGACTTGTTATAGCCTATATGGAAATTCCCCGGAACCTGTCGTAGCGCATGCGCAAATAGACCGGAACGCGATCTGTTAGACGAAAATAGAAGATGACTGTTGGCGAACGTTTCTCCTCCGTTACAACAAAAAATGACCAAAACTATTCGAGGATAAAGATGATGTTAATATAAAGAAGGTCATTGAATACGCAGTACATGTCCTCCATGCTTATATTAAGAAAAAGAACCTAGACGATGCCTTCAAAAGCTACAATACTGAGCTGTTGAATTAGAAACTGGCTAAATTTTACACGGAGGCTCGCGTACGAAAATCAGAACCTGGAGTTTTTTTTTGTTTCTTTTTTATTATTGTTGAATCATATAATAAAACAGTTATGGGCTTTTGTGCTGGTAAATATGATGTGATATGAACCTGAAAAAGTGATATTGACCTCACCTCGGTAAATATCACTCTTTCAGGTTTATATCACATCATATACACCAGCACAAAAGTCAATAATTGTATATTATCCAGTACTCTTTTAAACTTTGAAAATTTATTAAAGGTGTTTGACGGAACCTCGTACCTCACCTCTCTGTTTCAACAGTAATTAAGACCAATTTCGATTTCCAACTTTTTTACCCTAGCATCACCGATCGGTCCTTGAAGACATACACATACACACATCTGTATGGTGCTGTTTGATTTAATTATAGCATATACACTTTAAAGGTGATACTATCTCTGTGTGTGGGTGGAGGGGGAGGTTGTGAGGGAGTAAGTGTTTGTGTCAGTGTGTGTTTACGGGTGTGCGTGTTCAACGTGAATGATTGCTTTGATCTAATCATTTTAAATTGCAGGCAATCCTAACAATACGGCCGGAAACGAAAGGTAAATACTCACTTCAATCATACTTTTGCCGTATTATGTGTTCTATTGTTATCAGCATCTGCCATGCAACATGTTGATATGAAGGCTTAATCGCTCAGTATACACAATATGAACCCCTTATACACATGATAGTTTTTGTCTAATTCTAAAAAGTAAGTAACAAAAGTTTTGTTAAAATCAATATAGTATGCAGATATTTAAAATGTAATATTTTCCTAATTGAGTCTCCTTAAAAGAAGTTACAACAGTTCATATAATGTCTTGCACTATATTGTATTGTTTTCTATTATGGTTGACTAGTACCAAGACATTAAAGCAATATAAATAAAGCATACAATCATATGAGTCAAATACAAATAAGTAAGTTTATAGTTGTTTACTGCTGATATATACTTTAATTAATTAAAAATACAAAAGTGGTTTTATTATTGATTTTAGTACAGCACACGGACATTCAGAAGCAAACGCGTATGAAAACATTCCACCAAAATCAGGTAATATTTTTTCCACTATTATCTCCGATGTATTATGTGTATCGCCAGGAAATATCAATTTATGACCGACCGCACTCTTCCTTTTTTTTAGGTCTATACATGTTCATTGTTTTGTTATTGTAAACAAAAGAATCGTTAATATTGTTGTTTAGCGTTTACATTGTTTTGTTGAATAGTTAATATAAACATATCAACTAAAAGTTATTTACCAAGTATCGCATTATGTATCACGTTTCCATTAATAACCTTACAATGACCTATGTGTATAAGATAACTCGAACCTAGGCAAAACGTGGGGGCGAGTCAGCGTATTGCCTCGATCTTCACGATCATAAACAGAAACGTTGCGACAAACATGTAAGTGTTACAGTTTAATTTAATTTCAAATTTTGTTTTGTCAACTAATTCACTTTAATGCGTTGAAAAAACATTTTTTACTATCATCAACGGTCTCAACTGTACAAATCGGAATACCGACAAAAAATGGTCCGACAACGCCATTTTATGTATGTGTTCAGAATCCTATGTAATCGAACGGTAAAAAATATTCAAAAAATCAGTATTTAGATTGAAAACATATCATCATATATCACTGAAACATATTGCATGGAGATGGTTTTCATTTAACAATATAACTTATAACTTTCGCCAAGTAGGCTTCAGGTTGCATAACACCAATTCAGCATGCGCCCTCTGATAACGGCACAATATTGTGTATTGCCATTAGTGCTAATATATGTATAGACTATAAAAGCTACTAATTCGCACTTCGTAACGATGTAAAGCCTAACAATACAATTTGTATAACATAACAAGAAAGTTCACGCAACAAGTTTTGTTTTATATCTTATGCTTTGTTATTGTAATGAGGGTGTCGATCTTATGGTCAATACGTATCCCTGAGAAAGAAATCAAAGCCAAATGTGTTCCATTGATGATACGATTTACTGAAAAATACCAAACGTACAAAGACACAGAAAATTGACAAAATCATTGTTTTTGTTCTTATTCTTTGTGTTTTACATCATTTAACTAGCAAATATTTCACTAAGCTGCAATATTATCTGGCGGAAAATGATAGTCATATGATAGAAGCACAAATGTACGATATACATACAATGGGAATACAGTATTAATGAAAAAGAGCTCGATTTAGAGGCAATTAACAATCGAAGGGAAATAACTTATGCCAAGTAACGAGTTGTCTCCATGAAACATGGACAATTTTGACAGGAAAAGTTTTCTAAAGTTACCAAAATTTACTCTAAACTACTCATTACAGCTACTGAATGTTTAGCGCAGTCAACTTAAGCAATATAATATATATCTATCAATTACAGATTATACAAGAGTTTCTAGATTAATTACACAAGTTGTAAAACCTTACTTCCAACAAACGTGTACAATCTGTTCGTAAACATGATACGATAGAACGATAAACTTCATAAATCATTAGCTACAGTTACAAACTGCATTCGTACGTTATCTACAAAAAGCAAAAAGTATGTCTGAGAACAGTGACACACCTTTACAAACATGTTTTAGCTAAACCATCACCGCTAACATGGTCGCGGCCATTACATATTTTGTTAAACAAAACAGCGAATTTGACAAACAGCCGCTGTAACCTTTACAGAGACTGATATTACTCCTGGCTCAAATCTTACAACACTTAGGTTATTATTCATCTGAAAACTTACCCATTGTTAAGTATGATCACCAAGATCAGTACAAAAAAAAAGCTCTTTAACACATGCTTCATCAGCAGCTTACTTTTTCAGCAGCACGATGTACAACCTCGTTTTAACACAATGTAACCTGTGTGATGTCAGAGTGTGAGAAATTATACATTTATGTTTTGACTCTAACAGTTATATACATCCATAATAGTTTGAAACAAGTTTGATTAGAAATCAACACATGCGTTATGTCTACCTGAACTTAATTGTACTCCGACAAATATTTTTTGCAGGTAGTGGTTCGGATCCTTTGTACGTCAATACGACCATACACTGAATAACCGTTCAGGCCTGATGGAGACGCAGGCAACGACTGAAACACTCGTTTCTTCATTTGAGTATACCCTTGTTAAAATTGTCTGGTAGAAACGACTTTTTTGCGTTGAATCCGATATGTTTTAGTACTAAAACAAATCGTCAAGTGATTAACGGGAAAAACCGTTATAGTAATGTACAATGCACAGATTAACCTCTTCACTTTCATTTTGTCTCACCTAACATCAAACAAATACCTGAACGTAAAAATCAACAGAACAATCATTGTTGTGTTTGATGTTTGAAGCACTTGTTTTTTATAAGGATTTGATTTTAGCAAACCAATCATATTGTTAAATGATGTAGCTACGTACAAAAATACTTATCATTGTTGTAGAATGTTATGATTTAAAAACATTGTCTGTTATACATCACTTGATTTGTACCATCAACAAGATATATATTATATTTTATGACTTTAGAACGCATTTTTTTTTCCTTCAAATGTAACTTCATTTTTTTCTTTTTTAATTATTCTCATATAGATATATTCCACATTGAATGTATATTTCATATTTCATATACTTTATAACTATGTAATAAGTTATATAATCACTTTTATTGGTCCCGATATTGGCGTTCTGGGGTCTCAATGAGGGAGGAAACCGGTGTATCCGGAGAAAACCAACGCGGTCGGTCAGGTGAACCCAATACCTTTTTTCATCATCAGGGAATCGAACCGCGGCCGCCTTGATGACAGGCTAGTGCGTTGATAATATTGATAATGAGATCTGTTAAAGGAAAGACATGAACAACAAAACAAGTTCATATATGTAGGTAATTTACAAAGTTGATATTTATGATT